GGTATTTTGAAGAGCATAGCACAAGAATTGAATGTGCTATGGAGGGCCCTCTGAGCATGGCCGTTAGGGGCTAACGGCTCCCGGTATATAGATAGGGCAGTGGGTCAGATGACATCCTGTATGTCAGCAGTGAGCGTTGCTGTCAGAGCATAGGTGTGTCAGGTTCCTCGGACTCTGCACGTACTTTTGGTGCTCTCTGCTCACTGTCATCAGCTGTAGACAGACCAGGCAGCAGCTTGCTTCCACGCTGCTCAAGCATGTCATCTGTGCCAATCATCGCCATTGCAATCTGGTCGCTTTCTCTCTTCGATATTGATAGCAAGTCCACCATACTCCGCGACCCCAGATGGTAGAGACCTGGTTGTGGAAACCCTGGAAACATAGGGGCGATCTGCAGCCCATTCCCCAGCACTGGGATTCGCAGTCACGGACTACCAATGAAGTCTGAGGGATGTGGTGTGTGTGCTGCTGAGGATCCTGCACAGACTCAATTGTGAATGCCATCACCATCCGGCGAGTCTGCTTCTGTTGTGAGGGCAGTGTCGCTTGCTTCTAGCATGGCGCATCTATATGTGAAGGAAGGTGCAGTGTAGCCTTCACCTGCCCATCCATCTCTATTAGCTTCTGATACTGCGATCCCTCCTGTTCCTGCATTTACCGCTCTGGAATCTACCATCACATCACTCACCTCTCACATCACCTCCATCCCCGCAAAGACACTGCACTCCTATGTCCTGTCCCACCTCCAGGATGCCCCAATCCCATTCTCGCTGCATTCATGACATTCTTCGCTGAGCTCGTTCCATCTTCGTGGCTTCATTGCGTGCGCTGCCACAAGGACTATGTGGAGGTCAAGAACGATGACAGGAGTTGTCTGGTGCCACATAATGACAAGAGTGCCGAGGTCGAGCACATTGGGAGGACCGCGAGAAGTGGCAGGCTCGTGATCGATCCTGGGATGATATACAAGATGCTGTGGGGATGCTACGGTAAACTCACCGAGGGAGATGGGGACCAGGGACCGCCCGATGGCTGGTGCTATGAGGGCAAACATACAGTGTGTACTCTAATCTTTCCTCATGTTTCTTCATGATGTCCTGATCATCTCCTGCTGCAAACTGACATAAAGCGTGCCCGCTTCTGTGCCGACTCGACTCCCCAAGATGACAAGCTCGCCTCGTGCATCTGGCTCAATTGCTATGGCATCCATGACCAGCTCCCGTGCACGAACCTGTGCAAGCAGAAGTGCAGCGTGAACCTCCGGAAGCCTGACATCGACGAAGACATGAGTGAAGGCAAGCCTGACAGTGGGGAAGACCACGTGAAGAGCAAAAGAAAGATGGTGAGCAAGGGCAAGGGCAAGGTGAAGGCGAAGGCCGCTGCTACAGAGGACGAGCATATGGACATGGACCAACATGAGCACAAGGATACTGAGAACATCAGCATCAGTGCATGCGGATGTACCCCAGCTGCTCACAAGCAGGCCAGGACCTCCATCATTCCTGCCTCTCAAGCCAATGCCAGAGCTGCTGCTCCCAAGCGCAAGGGTCACCCGCCCAAGCCCAAGCCGGCGCAGCCTCTGGAGATGACAGACGCAGATGCGGATGTGTCCAGTGCATCAGCGCAGGTTAAGTGTCCCGGATGGAAGCTGAAGAGCAAGATGTATATGGAGGAGTCAGACGAAGCACAGGATGTAGACATGGATGGGGAGCATGGTCCGAGGACGCGTTCGCAGAGCTGGACGTGTCAGGCCAGTGTGCAAATGGGAAGACCGAAGTTGGCCATGAAGAAGGGGAAGAGAAAGGAGGTAGAGAAGGATGGCGAGAGTGAGGATGAGGTCCCGAAGAAGATGAGAAGGCTCTCTACGTAAACATTAACGCTACGCTGCTATGCTCACGGTGTCGAAAACGCTGTCTGCTCACTTTGGTTGATCTTCATCTGGACAAACTGCCATCATGTTGACTCACGGTCGTCGTTTATATCCTGGGTCACTTTTTTGTCTTATTAGTGAGTCTGTCTGTGATAGCTTGCTCGACAGGTGAGGATACGAGGAAGACGATGGCGTGGGTCAACCCGTATGTGCTACGTCCTGTCCTCGGAAGAATGCAGTGGACCGATCAGATGCGTCGCAGCTCAGATTCACACGTCGATCACCTGCATCAGGTGTCGCAGGACTTCAAGTTGTTGGGAATGCCCAGAGGGAGCAATCTGAGAGCATCCAGTGAAGACGTTGTGGCTGGTGCCACATTATGTAATATTCCAAATATGTACTTATATATAAAGTAATCCTAATTAGGGAGCTCGGCATATAAGCCCGAGCTCTCCTTGCCCCGCTCCATCATCCGCTCGCTCGTCCTCCTGGATTCTGGCAAATGCTACAGGTTATGAGCCCTGGCAGCGCTGTATAAACACATCATACAGCTATCTGAGTCTACTAGCAAAAAATTGATGAGATACATATAAAAGTGCGGAATTACTCCTATGCCGAAGAACACTGACCATGTGGATTCTCACAATCCATACTGCATGCCATACCTCATGGAGGACAATTGGCTTCCGTGGAAGAGGCGTGTGCAACATGTATGGAAGAGGAAGTGTCTTACCAAATATGTGACTGGTGAGATCCCGATTCTGCAGCCCCTGCCAGATATAGCAATGGCAGAAGAGAAGGCAGTGAGGGAAGCTGAGATTGCAGATTGGGAAGACAAAGATAGTGAAGCAGCAGAGGTCATGTTGATGTCCATGGCCGATGATCAGCTCATTCATGTGAGCGAGTCGAGGACATTACACGAGATTTGGGAGAGTCTTAGGATCGTGAAGGAGAAGCCAGGCCATCACGGCCTTCTGGCACACCAGCGTACATTATATCAATCTCGAGCTCCAGATGACAAGGACATGGATGACTGGTTGAAGGAACTGCGTCAGCTTCGGGAGGAGCTCCACCAGATGAGAAAGCTCATCCCAGACGACGAGTTCATTTCAATTATCCTCATGTCGCTACCGGAATCCTGGGATTCATTCATGAATTCCTATTTCGGAGAAGCAGGAGGACAGTCCCAGTCTGGCAGTGGAACTCAGATTATGTCGCAAGATCTCATCGCAGTCATTCACGATAAGAACCGCCACCGGAAGAGCTGAGATGCTGAGCAGGCTGCCACAGGCACATCGCAGACTCAAGCCCTCTTCACCCAGAATGCGGAGCGGAAGAAGGGCAAGGGCGTGATGAGACCATGCGGCATCTGCGGTCGGAAGAACCACATCACTTGGGATTGTAAATTCTGCGAGCACCCCAAAATGAAGTGCGAAAACTGTGGGAAATGGGGGCACAAGACCTTGGAGTGCTACGCCCCCAGAGGAATCTTATCTGATAAGGCACGAGATGAGCTGCTGAAGAAGAAGTCAAAGTTCAAAGTGTGTGAGCGCAATGATTCGCAGATCGCTGGATCAAGCCGTGCCAAGAGAGATCAGGTGAGAATTGCAGAAGATGATGACGAAAACTGTATATCATTAGGTTCAGAAGATTCAGATGCTTCGTTTTATGGTTGGTTTGCAGATTCAGGAAGCACCTCCCACATCACTTCTCGCCGTGATGTTTTCCAGACCTATGAGCCCTTATGCAACCACTTGATCTCCGGGATAGGTCCAGCGCCTATCAAGGCTTTAGGCCGAGGCACTGTAGTCATCCGAAGTAAAGTGGGAAATCACATAGTAAGGTTCAATCTTCGCAACATGCTACATGCACTGACAGCACCCAGCAATCTTCTATCCATTGCACGGCTTGATGAAGCCAGTGGAAGGGTACACATGGGTGACAGTCATGGGCTAATCATGGATAAGCATGGTGCTACACTTGCTGTAGGTAAGAAACAAGGTCAACTTTATCAATTAAATCTTGAGCCCATTTCTACCGCTTCTGAATTAATATATGCCATGCAGGAAGACACTCCTCACACCTGGGACGAGTGACACAGAATTTATGGCCATATTGCAAAACCAATGCTTACACGGTTACACTGGGAGCACATGGTCGAAGGCCTAGAAATTGCACCCAGCCCAGATAATCTTGAGTGTGAAGCCTGTGTACAAGCTAAGGCCATCAGGAAGTCATTTCCAAAAGAGGCAGCAAAAAGAGACACAGTCCCCAGAGAATTAACACACACAGATGTGTGGGGACCAGCTCCGACAACTGCCCTACAAGGATGGCGTTATTTCGTCTCATTCACGGATGACTGTACCAGATTTACTACAGTATTATTCAAGAAAACGAACGACGAGACATCCGAGAAAGTCAAATTTTATTTGACAAATCTCGACCGTCATTATGGGACTCAGTGTCGTCAGCTCTGAATGGATAACGGATGCGAATATCTAAATAATGACTTGACACAATGGTGCCAATCCCGAGGAATTAAAACAGGCACTACTGCGCCTTATTCCCCATCCCAGAATGGAATTGCGGAACATTTATACTGCACGTTATTATCACGCACACACGCTATGCTCTACGCACGTGACATTCCACGCTATCTGTGAGCAGAAGCAGTGGGTCATGCTGCATACATCAAGAATCACACACCTACGCGCGCATTACCTGACATGATGCCATACGAGAAATGGAACGCGCGGAAGCCTAATATTGCATATTTATGTGAATTCAGATCTGATGTATGGGTGCTAAATGAAGCACTTAACTTATCGAAGTTAGCGCCGCGCGCCATGAAGTACATCTTCGTTGGCTATCTCGATGGACCACGCACCATCCGCTACTACGACGCATCCACACGCACTATGAAAACTTTGCACAATTATCATTTTGCGCCCGCTTCACAGCTCCCACTCTCTGTGACAACTGACACACCGGAGCTACAGAGGGAGTCTGCGCCAGATCAAACACACGAGGGGGAGTCTTCCACCGAGAATGCGCCGCGTTCCGATCTGAAGAAGTGAAAGCACATCGAAGTGGAAGAAGCGCAGGTACCTGAAGAACCTCGGAGATCAAAACGAAAGATCGTGTGTCCGAACTATCAGCTCCTCAATGACCCTGAGGCAGATGACGATGACATGGATGCTGCTGCATCTGCTGAAGTAATCTACCAGGCAATGTGCACTTCTATGGATCCAGATGAGCCAAAATCGTTACAGGATGCGAAGAACTCACCGGAATGGCCCCATTGGGAGCAAGCAGTGCAAGCTGAGATGAAGCAACTGCATGATATGGGGACATGGGATCTTGTAGATCTACCCCCAGACCGCAAAGTGGTAGGCAACAAATGGGTCCTGGTCAAGAAGATCAACAAGGAAGGTGAGGTAATCAAATACAAGGCACGTCTAGTGGTAAAAGGCTACTCACAGATCCCTGGCATGGACTACACGGAGACGTTCTCACCCGTGGTCTGCCTTGAGATGATACGAGCTGTCCTAGGGCTAGCTGCAATCCTCGATTGGGAAATCCAACAGATGGACGTCAAAGGTGCCTATCTAAATAGAATCCCGCAAGAGGAGATCTATATGCGCCAGCCTGAAGGGTATGCAGACCAGATGCACTGTGTATGCAGATTACACAAGACCCTCTATGGACTCAAACAAGCTGGGCATGAGTGGAATATTCAACTTAACCATGAGCTAATAAATGCGGGTTTTAGGCGATTATTATCAGATCCTTGCACATATATTCAGATCAGAGGTGGAAAAGTAGAAATCGTTACCGTATGGGTAGACGATCTACTGATATTCACCAATGATCCTAATATTATGGGTCATCTGAAGCATGAACTTCAGACCATGTTTGAAGTCACTGACCTTGGTGATCCAAAGAAGATCATCGGAATAGAAATTGAGCGAGATCGTGCAAAGCACATGATTAAAATCACTCAAAATAAATATATTGTTTCTATCCTGCAAAAAGAAGGGTTAGCGAACTCAAATGCGGTAGGCATGCCTCTTGATCCAAATATTCACCTCGAGAAGGAGGAAATTGGGATCGATGACATGCAAAACCGTAGCAACGGATATGCATCACTCATCGGATCTCTAATGTATGCTGCTGTGGCAACGTGCCCAGATATTGCTTATGCGGTACAACGCTTAAGCTCCTTCACTGCCAATCCTGGCATGGCACATTGGACAGCCGCAAAGCGCATCCTCAGATATTTATCTGGCACACAAGATGTCAGAATAGTATATGGTCCCAAAGAAGGGAAACCATACCTCGAACAATGTAAATTCGAGGGATATTCCGATGCCAATTTTGCCAATGATGAAGATCAAAAATTGATCTCAGGATATGTTTTCCTAGTAGGCACAGGTGCAATAACATGGAGCTCAAAGAAGCAATCCACTGTCGCATTATCTACTATGGAAGCTGAATATACGGCATTTGCTCAAGCTGCAAAAGAGACGGTATGGCTGCGAAATCTATTCAAAGAAATAGGTTTCGAACAGACCAAACTGACAATTTTGAACGGCGATAATATGAGCGCTATATCAATTGCAAATGATCTGCAATTCCATGCGCGATCAAAGCATTTCGATATCAGACATCATTACATTTGAGAGAAAGTTAATGATGAAATTATTCAGGTAAAATATTGTCTGACAGGTGATATGACTGCGGACATCTTTACCAAGCCTCTTGCTAAGCCCAGACATCAAAAACTAATGGGATTACTAGGGATGCCCATCAGCTTGAGGGGGAGTGTTGGGAATGCCTGGAGAGAGCAATCTGAGAGCACCCAGTGAAGACGTTGTGGCTGGCGCCACATTATATAATATTCCAAATATGTACTTATATATTAAGTAATCCTAATTAGAGAGCTCGGCATATAAGCCTGAGCTTTCCTTGCCCCGCTCCATCATCCGCTCGCTCGTCCTCCCGGATTCTGGTGAATGCTACACAAGTCGTGCCGTCCATGGCCTGCACTTTCCTCGGTAGTCCTGCAGCTCTGAGATGCGGTAAGCGCATCGTGTCTCACTGACGCATCTATTCATAACCTGATTGTCCACAGTTTCATCTGTATATCAGCAGCATCAACCCACCCATTTCACGTAAAACTCTACAGACGCTGCAGGTGTAGAATGGTTCAGACGACGATGACAACGATGATGAAGATGCGGATGATCTCAAGACGATGAAGTCAAAAGCGAGCATAGCAGATGAAGAGAAGGAGCGTGCACATGAGTATGACCAAGTGGGCATGATCACGGGCGGTACCGGCATGTAAGTGAGCGTGCCATCGCTAACCCTCATGGCAGCATGCCGATATACGAGATCCTAGAATGTGCACTCAAAGACCCATCGAACAAGACCAAGTTCACGCTCATCTTCACCAACATCAGCGAGCGCGACATCCTGCTCCGTGAAGAGTTTGATGTGTTGAAGAAGGTGCACCTCGACATGTTCAACGTCATCTATACACTCGACCAGCCCAGATCAAACTGGAAAGGTACATCGTGTCTTGCGGATGGATGCATGCAAGTCGACTGATGCGACCGCGGACGTGGGCTGGCAGGATAGAAGGGATTTGTGAACCGGAAGATGATCAAGCAGAACATTGCTCTCATGACACTCAGCAATAAGGTCAAAGTCTCCATCTGCGGTATGTCTCATGGCTCGCAGAGTTGCCTCCGGGCTCCTCGCAAGCTGATAACTGTCTGTGCAGGCCTGCCTGGGCAGGTGAGCACGCTCACAGGAAAGAAAGATGGGATGAAGCAGGGCACGTTGAGTGGAATTTTGAAGGATCTCAGGTACACCAAGGATCAGGTGCGTTCTCTCGCATGCCGCGACACGTGCACGTCGAGCTCGTACTTACGTGCTTCTTCTTTCTGCAGATATTTAAGTTCTAATGCCGGTGCATTGTATTAGAACGTGAAAGAGCAGGCGAGATGGACTTGAATGCTGTATCTTTAGATGCTGCTGTACGGTTATCACCGCAGACATGAAGCGATTTGCACATGTGGCAAATGCTTAGCAAATGTCAACAGGTTTTTTGCCTTTGTGATCTCAATTTGCTACGGTTCCTTCCCACATTCCGTATTAAGTATTTGCATATAATATGTTGGAGGCAGTAATTTAAAATCATGTATTTAAGAAATGACACCATTTTCAAACTCACCAAATACATTTAGAATTTGAGTGCTGTTGAATGTAATTATACATTTTTGAATTTCAAACTATAACATGTATAAAATATCCAGTAGCAGATGAAGGTGTGATTATGCCTACATTCTACTTCCCTACTGAAGTCATTCTAGCCAAGATTACTAGAATGAAAGTCATTCACCGTAATTACACCTTCATCTGCTACTGGATATTTTATACATGTCATAGTTTGAAATTCAAAATGTATGATTACATTCAACAGCGCTCAAATTCTAAATGTATTTGGTGAGTTTGAAAATGATGTCATTTCTTAAAATATATAATTTTAAATTTCTGCCTCTAACATATTATTATGCAAATACTTAATATGGAATGTGGGAAGGAACCTTAGCAAATTGAGATCACAAAGGCAAAAAACCTGTTGACATTTGCTAAGCATTTGCCACATGTGCAAAACGCTTCATGTCTGCGGTGAGATGGGTCTCTCAAACTCTACCGCAACCAGCTGTAGTTCCCAATATTGTAGTACAATCATCCACCACTGTGCTAAAACATTTGTGAACAAGTCCTGCAGGTTGTACACAATGTGTTATAATATTCTCACCACTGCATAACATTGTGCATTATCTGAATATTAATGTAAATCATTCACAGCACTCTCATTTCACAATGTCAATCATGTAGTAAAGCATTGTTTGACATTGTAAATTATCCAGAGATGATTGATCAACATTGTATTTGACTGTTGCTATATATATCCACATTGTCAATGATTCTGGAGCCATTATTTCTGCAGGTTGACACAATGTATTACAATATCCTCACTATTATATAAATTTGTGAATCACTTGCAGATAGTTGTGTATCATTCACGTCACGCTTGTTTGACAATGTCAATCATTTGGTGGGCATTTTGTGTGACATTGTGAATCACTCAGAGATGGTTGATAAACATTGTATTTGGCCACTGCTATATATTTTCCACATTGTCAATTATTCTGCCAGCCAGTATTGACATTGTGCTTCATTTTACAGGGCTCTACAAAATGTGGTGCATTCAACTGAATCAAGTAGTAGCACAGTGTGCTTCAAGCTTCAGGTATATCTGAGACACATAGGCATCTCTCTTCTCATAGCTTGCAGGAACCTTGTATATAATGCAAATTAAAATTCAAGTTGTCAATAATTATCTGAGTTTGGATACAACATATCTTTTGAATTTTAGACCTTGGTACAGTGAAACCAGCCATAAGACAAGCATATAAATCTCAAGCACTACCTAGATACTACAAATCATCTTCAGGAATGTCAGACTCAGCCTCAACTTCATCCTCAGACCCTTCCTCTTCGATAGATTTGCACATTGCATCTGTAAAATCCTTGGCCCATTCTGGAACTGTGCCAGCCTTGCGCAGCAATGGCAGCCACATGGACATGAACTTGACGGAGAGTTTTTGAAAGATTGCAGCCTCTTTTTCAGTGTAGGCATGAAGCCCACATGCTAAGGATGGAGAGACATCAGTGCATTTACCTGCATGCTGACGCCACCATCTCGCCTTCCACCTGAGATACTCAATCACTCATCGCATCTCCTCCTCCAGGAGTTGCTTCTCCTCAGCCCATCTATCTGCCCGTGCCTTCGTACATGCCCACTCGATGCACATGCTATCATTGTACTCACTGGTATTCGAGACCTCCTCACTGATAGTGGTCCCATCTGGGCATTTGACACACCAGATCCAGGATAGCTCATACCGGCCCTCTCCCATTCCATCATCATCACGCCTTGATCCAGAGATGTGCTTCTCTTTCAGAACAAGAAAGCGATTTGACCAGTCACCACCAGGATCGAGTACGGAGAGGGCAGCATGAGCGACATGATAGGTGGAGGTCGCACGCTGGATCTTGTCTGTGAAATGCATAAATAATGTACGCATCCTCGTATTTGCTTTTTGTCCAGTGCCAGATACATTCATCTTGCGAAATTGACGGACCTCCATGAGAACATGACGTAACCGACGAATTTCTGCAAGTGCGTCGTCGGCTTGAGCAACGCGAAGCCGTGTCTCCTTCATGACAAGATCGCGCAATGCTTCGGAGCTTCGCAAGTCAACAGAAAGGGATGATGGCAACCATAGCTTCATATCATTAGCTGCATAGTCTGACTTTTCTGCTATTTCTTCAATGCTGATGTACGGAGCACGTAGCTGTGCCGCTATGGGCATGTAAATGTCCTGCAACGTGCACCATCCTTGAATGTGATGATACAGTGCATTCTGTCTCTGTTGAGAGTCAGCATACATGGCGTCACTTTTTCCGATAGACTTGAGCTGTGATACATGGCTATGATGCTGTTAAATTCGGTACGGTGAGACATGATGCTTTTACATACACTTGACCTTCTAGCTCTAAGCCGAGCTGAAGGAATATGCTGGCAGTCACTTCATGAGGTGCTACATGTCCACGAGCAGCTTCGGCGGCATCTTCTTGTGCCAGTTGTAGGCAGACTGCATTCATCGTCCACGCTATATGTGCCATCATTTATGTTGTCGAGCGACATTAATATGTAAAGACGTACTGGAGGTTGGCTCTTCGAAAGGGTCAGGCTTATGATTGTGATTCTGCTGCCAAGCCTCATGAATATCTTCCCATTCCTTGATTACTGCTGGTGCAAATGTATCCGAAAATCTGTTGAATATATCTCGGTGCTTCTGGCGCATTGAGACTGCCTCCTTGTATGAATTTTGCATGTGCTTGCCTGGAACTGTATCATGTGTGACATGAGAGCTTACGTGACCCAAGCAATGGAAGAACATACTGAGATTAATTATCTTTCCCCAATTCCATGCACCCCAATGATCGTCGAGTACCTCTTGATGCATCGTGGGTCCCATCTCCTGTGTGCTCATTGCAATTGGATTCATGTGTGACCAGCTCGACTCAATGCCCTCACCATATGTGCATCCCACATGCCGAACATAGTTGAGAGAATATCGTACATGGTTGGGGCCGTGAGCTGGAAGATGTTTTTTCGGTATTCCCCAGCGAATATTGATACGATCAAAGTCGAGATGAAGGTCTTCACGGTACGTAGCATTTCGCTTCTGGAAGTTCTTGCTAAACTGGCATGCGATGTCGTAGGTAAGAAAGAGCCAGAGGAGAACAAGCGATGTGAGGGTGGATAGAATGAGATAGTCGATGTTGCAGAATCTATCGCTCATCAGGGTTTTACCCACACTGCAGAAAATGCGATAAGCGACTCACTTTTCTCCTTTCTGAAGGTCTCCGACTCCCTTCTTGTGGACAAATGCATGGCGGGCACAGAGCACGGCACCAACTCCAGATGCCAGGTAGCCTTCCTTGTGAAGATTTGCTTTGATTATTGCATTGTGCTCCGCAGTGCAGGTATTCTCCTGTGAGAATATGGCTGAATATGCTATTGCTCAGTGGGAGACAACACTGCTGCACGTACCTCCTCTAAGTGAGCATGTTGCTCGACATGCTTGAGATAGCACGCTTCCTCCACGTAGTATGCCCAACCCGGTGACAGATGGACATCGGTCAAACCTCGGTCTTTGCAGTGGATGTGGAAGTTTGCATCCACCATGAAAAATAGTACGTACAGCCAACTGGATTGAGCAATCTGTGTGAGAGAGAATGCACGATAAGATACACCTATATACTCATGAAAGTTCGGGAGGTGCACGCTCCCAGTCTTTCGGTAGATTGCGACCAGGATGGAGACAGGCTGGGCACTCCACGACGAGCTCTCCTTCTTGTGTGGCATCAACACCATCTAAATCATGACCACGTGCTGCTCTCTTCAACATCTTCATATGATGCCATATGCGGACGACGTGTGCTGCTTGCTTGTAGCGATTCTATCAGCCAGCTCAGAAGACATTCATAATCATGAAGGTAATCGACCCTTACCAATACCACATGAGTGCCAGAATTGTCGGTAATCCGCTGAAGAGCTTGAAAGAAATCGTAGAGATTCGTCTTTCCTTGTAAAGTGAGATGGTGAAAGAATTCCAGAGCTTGGAATGTGAAGGCAGTCTGCGCTCGATCAGTACTTGCAGGGAACCAACCAACGTGCAAAAGTTGTTGCCAGCAGTACGTGAGGCCCTCATGGAGTCCACTACACTGACAGAAGCAGACCTTGATGTTGTGGATGCCGTTGATGTCACATACACAAAGCGGATACGGTTTGCTTGGACTTTGGCATGGTTTTCCTGCACGACCTAGTTGATAAATGTAGCCGAGAGATGCTAATGTTGTGCTCTCAAAAAACGTGTCATTCCAACACTGAAATATGAGCGGGTTAAGATAGTAAGTAGGTTGAGCAAGAATGAATAACGTACCTCAATGCGGTGAAGCGGGAGATCAGAATGAGCACCAAGAATGCATGTCTTGCACAGAAGAGGCTTCCCGGTGCATTCATGACAGTGCAAGCTTCCTAAGCTTGCACAGTTCTGGCAGGTCTGATGAGGAAATGCATCTGCAAGCCCATCCATACAGATTAGCTCCTCCAGAAATGTCTGGCAAAAAGGCAGCCAATTCAAGATCTTCTCCTACACTTACGGTCAGCATAAGGGTTACTATCGTCAGCTGCTCATGTACGATGTGCGTTTATCGCTACAGTCTCTCTTTTTCCCCCCTTCTCCCAAGTCCATGCTATCTGCGACGTTGTCATCTGCAACACAAGTAGCTCCATCCTGATCATCGTCTCGGACTTTCAAGTCGGGGTGCTGCACCGGCTTGGCTTGTACATGTCTCACTCGTTGTCCTAGGTGCCCACTCTTCGTCGTATGCAGCGTGTATGACTGTTGAACGTTCGCAGACATGGTAGGCTCGTCATCGGTGATGGTGACTCGGTGTGTTTTCTTTGCAGTGCGAGAGCACTGGGATGAGCCAGTACGTTTGCTTGATTCCGCCATGAGAGGGAATAATCTGGCAATGATGATGCATGCAGCAAGAAGCCGAAAAGTTGAGACTGCACTGAGCACTAGCCTCACCGAGATGGGCCACATGTGGACTAACAATCAATAGCCACCCGATTGCTATACATTGTGCATAGAGGGTGATCACGCATTTACATGCATCCGACAGTATCTCTGAATATAATTCAAATCTCATTGATCGGACACTTTCTAGCAACATCACACATGTATCTAAGGTGATACTCATTCAAAGAATATAGAACCATACCTAGATGATGTCAGCTTCCCCGTCAGGCAGTAGAACAGGACAGCATGAACTTCGTTGAAATCTGCAGCGTGTTCGTTAGCATGCTTGACGTATTATCGACACACTTTGCACCTCATAATGATGCTCATTCGCTTTCTTCGTATGATCTGTGATGCTATCTCTTGCTCGCACCCGCTCAATCCATTCCATCTTCACAGCATGATTGGCCTCGAACAAGCCGTGGTCAATTTCACGCAACCTCTGCCGGCATAGAGCGTGTATCACAGCGCACATTATAAAGTCCGGTATCAAAGCCTTTAGGATGACATGTGATAAGTATCCCATCCTGATGACAACATGAAACGCTCGACTCACCTTATCCAGCAAAGCATAGCCAACATGCAGAGTGGCCTCCATGAACGGCACGATAATTGTTGAGTGCGAGAGCTGTCGTGCGCCATGCCTGAAATATATATGAGCTTCGAGCTTCAAGGGTAGGATGTCAGCGGAATGTCGAAATGTATCTGATGTATTGAAAGACTGTCACGATGATGTTGCTCCTTTCAGACTCAGATAACGTCGATAGTGTATGCAAATCAGCTATGAGCGGTCTATAATGACAGCATCACTGAGAGAGAGAGAATCTGAGCAGCGACAGATGGCGCACCAAGTCGAAATGCAGAACATACCAAGCCCAAGCCCCTTCCAGATCAGCCTCATCATGAACTGAAGTAGTAAGACATCACGTCTTACGCAGAGGAAAGAAGAGGGATGGGCAGTACTCACCGCAGCGTCGACGCCGGCCGAAGCATTCTCCATGCCATCCATTGCTATCTGCATCCCTTCAGGTGTCCCGGCGCATCCTGAAGGGATATAGCATAGTGATATTAGAGAGACTCAGATTGCAAAACAGTAGAGCGGGTTAACGTACCTCCGATGCCGCTCAGCGACTCTACTCAAGCACCTCGGAACCCACGCTGCAGAGGACCATGATAGCTGTGTTGCGGCCAGGTCGCAGTGCTGCCCATATCCAAAGTGAGGGCCAGTGGTGCACCAGATTGCACTGTATAGAAGAGCGGCCGAGCACGCAGGTCGCGATAGTGGAGGGACGAGCCGCAGAAGCGAGACTGTTGCAGCCAGGTCGTGGTGCTGCTCTAAGCCACAGCATGAGAAGGGGGGCACAGACTGCCATAAAAACAGGAGCGGTCGAGTACAGAGATCTGATGTTGGAGAGGGCGAGCTGAAAATGGAGACCTGAAAGCAGGACGCGAAGTACAGAATCGCGAACACGGGAAAGAGAGATATCTCGGACAAAGAGAAAGGTGGCCAGACGCCCATGAGTGCATCACCCATAGTCACACCAGTCAAATAAATTCTAGGGTGAACATTCTTTACATGTACACTGAATACGAAAATTGCGAACCAATCTGATATGTCTCAGAAGAGATATAAAGTACGTAGATATGATGCGACCCGCGACCCTGAGCTCAGACGAGGTTATTAGCCACCACATTGAGTGACACCATGTCACGCTTGTGGCTGAGCATGCACAGTTTGTGATCTTCTACCCTGGGCTTATTGTGAACGCAATCCGTGCCTCGCAAGCATAAATCCTGTTCACGGTGCCGTCAATAGATCACAGATTAATTATATGCATTGATTCCCAATTTTCCCGCTCTTCAGCTCATAAGCCAGGGCCACAAGAGCATGTCACGCTCGGTGCTTGCTGGGTCCGTACTTGCAGCTGCAGAAAACACCATCTTCGCACTCCCATTGCAGTGCTTGCGGACGAAAAAATCTGAAAAAGGTTTCAAAAATCGTGTTAGCATTGCCCCGAGCAACCTTGAGAAATTGAAGCATTCTTGGGAAGAACCTCGTGCTACAGTAAGGTTTGACGAGCTTGAACGACACTTCAGCCACCCGTCCAGTGCTTCGCGCGCTCGCTCAACGTTGCAACATTCAGCGTTTGGCTTTATCTATGCATGCTCATACTACTGTGCACCATGAATCAGTTACTTGAAGACAGCAATGACTGGCTATTTTATGAGGAGCACCTTCCAGCAAAAACTTATTATATCAGGTCAATTCCGTGTACTACAATGACCGCTTTGTTGCTAATTTGTGCAGCCTCATCAGCCACCGTCAGGCACATCTGCGATATCAGCAATATTATAATGCAAGCATCCGAGCCTCTCGCAGGAAGTTGAGCAAGAGGGATCAGGCCGCTGCGAGGGAGAAAATGCGTCAGGAAGCACATGGTCTACATTGGTGAGTATTCAGGAATCAGCATCATGTTATTTTCATTTTATTCAACTGAAGTGCACACAGTGCATATGACAATCCTATTGCTCACAAGTCCAGTCAGCATAACCCAGAACGCACACCGCAAATGGCTCATGTGGAGATCTAGCTATGGAAAGAATTGCAAGACCTCAAGTCCGACTTCATCAGGGCGCACGGTTCTACATGGCTGCATTTTTATCTGACGGAACTCGACGTCAGGAAGCGGGGCTTGCTCATCAGCAGAAGCACTGATCTGCATTGCACTCACCAGCTTGTCGCCATCTATCACCAGGAATTTGAGCTTCTACAGCAGGGCGCACACAAGTATGAACAAGCCATCACTGATCATGCCCTGACTATCTTTGGGCGAGGGTATGTGGCTTTTCTGGATGATCGTTATGGCTGCTTACCCAGAACAATGATATAGAGTGAATAAAACATATTTTAAGAAGGTCTACGGCTTTTAAACATCATTCTTCTACTTATGAGCATTGTATATCTAATACATCATCTGCAATACACTTCGGGAGGAGGAGCTGGGGCAAGTGACACCACTCGTGCCAATCGTCGAGGCATCTTTCGAATCCGTGACTGCAGCCAGCTCGGAGTCCTCTGAGGAGGTTGACATCATGTTGAACATCAGTGTATCTGAGCCTGAGGCACTCGCCGAAGGCGAAGTGCATGCCATGGTTGAGGAAATGCAGAATGCAGCTGAAGGAGAGCAGCATAAGACATCAGAAGAATTGAGTGCAAAACCAAGCCCGTACCTGATGCCACTTCCACCATCACCGCCTTCAGCATTGCCGAACCCGGAGTACCCACATAAGCTGATGCCGATGCCGGTGGAAGGCCTTCCCAAGCAGTGGGTACCTTCGATCGGAGAGGTCGTGTAATGAGCCATGGACGAAGAACGGGCTGAAGGAGAAGTGGATACGCCAATGCTCAGCCCGACGCAGCACCACGATCACGATGCGGAGAGCTCGAGCGAGGGTGAGGGCCCAGAGACGCCTCTGCCAGATATTGTGGCATTTGCAATGAACGTTGTCATTTCGGTGAGTGCGGGTGTGCATGATGAGTCAGATTCGTGTGTGCAGACGCTTGGGAATGCGGTTGGTAGTGAGCCAGGGAAGGGACAGGAGCAGGGGCAGAAGGAGGGCCAGAGGCTTTTCAGTTGGGGCATCGGGATTGGGGGGAGGTTGAGCGGGCATGCAGCATAGTGTCCTGCCTTCGCTGTCGCATAGATCTTGTGAGCGCAGCAGGATGAGGGAGCATGAATTTACCTTAGAACATTCTGTACATAGTTTGGCCCAAATTTGCGTGCATCTGAGAGTGGTGCACTTTTTGTGTGATGGGCTAACTTCATACTGCGAATGAATCAACATTGATCGGCACAGACAACCACGTCGACCATTCTGACTAGTCATGAGCATGCACATCGTTATCCTGCAGTGGCTACGTACCATGGTCCCATGTAAAACAGGTATAGATGCTCCTCATCCTCTGAAGACTCAGAGGATGGTGGTGCTACAAAATAATATAAAAACATTCAGCCCATGAAAATGTCGAACTTACTGTTAATCTCTACCTGTCCGACGAGAGACCCCAATTGAAAGTGGAGTTACGCATGTCATGCCAGGGTGGAGAAAACTGGCATTAGACTGGGAAAGGCAATGAAATCACAGCGGCATACATTGACCGCTGCCAAGACTCGATCAAGTGGCTTATGCGCCCACGAACTGGCGGCCAGTTAAAATTGGCAAAGACGGAGAGTACTCGAAACATCGGGCAGCAAATGCCGCATGTGACTTGTGAAGCGGTCCGAGCTGTAAAAATGATTTCAGTGAGACCAATATACCACTCCTGCCTGGGATTGAGCAGCGCAGCGACAGGATGGACAGAGGTGGAGATGTGGATGGAGGCATATGGAGAGGATGATGGCTAGAGGGGCAGGACATTCAGCTCACCGGTTAGAGATGAATATCACATTATCCATTTGCGCAGTTTCTGGCAATTGTTGCTGTACCTGCAGCCTGAGCATTGTACCTGGTAGAGTAGTGGCTTCAGCTGTGAAAAGTTTTGAATGATTCGTGAGATACACCTGTGAACGCATCGCACATCTGTTCCTTTCCCTCGCTGTTGCCAGTATGCCTGGAAAAGAATGGACATCAGAAACACAGAAGATATGGCTCGAACACAGGAGGGCAGCATTCTTGAATGCTCAGGAGACCAAAACCACCTCCGCTTTCATGTTGTCCACCTCTGAAGCTTGGTTTGGCGAGTTTGGTGTTGATCCACCCACTGCAAAGGAGCTACAGCAGGCGAATGGCAGCAAAGAGGCTGCCAATGTCATTGTAACAGAAAAGATGAAGAAAGTACGTCAATGCAACACACCTGATCATCACTGCTTCTGATGGAATCTTGCAGTGCCTGCGATGGTGGTTTGATAACCATACATGCATTACATCATCTGGCAGTGGTTCGAAGAAGGTGCTCGACTTGACAAAGGGCCGCAAGCAGAGATTGCACCCGTATCAAGCCTATTACAAGCTCTATACGGAGAAACTACGGCCAATCATCGACAAAAAGTATGCGACATACCTTAGTACCCTTCCATCTGGCACTGGTCCTCACAACAAGTGGGTATGGGGCAATGAGCTTGTTAAGCAGCTCCTCATGGAGGAGACAGAGGATGTGAAGGCTGAGGTGGAAAAGTTCTGTGACGTGTCAAGTGTAGCACCGTTTAACTTCGAAGACGAGGTGGATGAGGAGTTGCCGAATGAGGAACAGAGTGCGAAGCAGAAAAGGGTGAAGGAGATGTTCGAGTAGGTGCCTTTTCTCTGGATGCTGTGATAATGTGCTCACTCTCAAATTAGTGCGATTGACAACCTTGCACGCACGGTGAAAGTTGCTCTTGATAGAATCGAAGAGCAAACTGGGTGGAAAGTGACAATCATTTGCGGTGGCCCGCATCCGATGCTGAAAAAAATTAGGACTATGGTGTATGTTACTCTCCTCCACTTGGCTCATTCCATCTTGACACCCGGAGTAACCAGATACCATACAGGGATAACGAGGGACTCAGGCCACACATTTTCGCAAATCATCGGCACTGATTGGATGGAGAAAGTGGAGGCACCCTTTCGTGAGTTCGTACAGAGATGCTATCGTAAGTGCCCTTGGCTGTGTGCAGTGTGGTTTGATCGAAGTACTAAATTCGCTCTACAGCACCTGATTGGGAGGTGAGACTGGGGTTACCCGACATGAAAGAAAGCTCCTCCACAAACACCAGCGCTCCTGCCTCACGCTCTGGCACTCTCAACTCCCAGCCCGCTCATGCACCCTCAGAGTCTGTGGAAGCCTCAAAAGAGAACGAAGACTCACTCTTAGTTACAGCACATGCTGGCTCCCCACACGAGTCCTCACCAGATCCATACAAGTTTGACAATGAAAAAGAGCAGAATATCGCTGCAGTGCATGCACTGTTCAAGCAATCAGGCCTCAATGATGATCTAGCGAAGCTCAAGGCCAAGGTCAAGAAAGGAAAAAGGCGAGAGCATGGCAGATCTGAAGTGTTAAATCAGACTTCGGCTATTGGTTACAGGTACGTCGGTAGTCTGCATAATCTTTTGTGATCTCGCTAATCTATGCATTTCAGTCAATTACTCACTACCAGCATCACGGATCCATTAGATTCTGCACAAGGTTCCACTGTGACAGGCTCTACATCGACCTCTATTCAAGCACCTTCGCCGCTGATCGCTGCTTCTACAAGCAGTGCTGCGCTGACTCCTGCTCCTGTGTCAACCGTTACTCCCATATCGACCCTTCTCTCTGTGACTAAGAACACTGCGCTGACCTTGTCCTCCATGACTAGCGCTGCACTGATCTTGTCCTCCATGATTAGTGCCACACTAATTTTTGTTCCGACACCAGTCTCTGCTTCTGCATCAATTCCTGTGCCTACCTTTGTTGCGAAGGAGCCGAGCATTGGTGAGGCTGGCCTTCCCACCTGGATACAAGATGCGAGACAATATTTCACCGGTGTTACCGGTGTTGGATCCTGGAAGACTCTCGTCAACTCATGGCTCACATTTGAACATCGCCTGGGCTACCCGGATGGTTCTCGTGCGAACTGGCTGGCATCGAAGGGACGTCTGGAAGAGATCAAACAGTGGATCAAGAAAGCTCATCCATACAAAGCGAGTGCAGTCACCATCAATGTGAAGATGTTTTCAGGAACTTGGAAGGGTTGGTGGAGGAACATTCAGCCTGTCGGATGTGTTCAGGGTGTAGAGTGGCCGCTTTTACAGAACGTGGAGCAGGACTTGAATTGGATGGGATTGGACCGTGGTGGATGCAACGGTATGTTCTTGGTCATTGTTTCGTTGTCGTGGTGGGTGGCAGCAGCTCGCTCAGATGCACAAGTTGTCGATGTGACACTTGCTGTTGAAGACGTGCTATGGGTGCTTGGACAGCTGGCCATGCATGTCACTCGAAAGCATTCTGCTACAGGTAGTTCTGGATCCCCAAGCAAACGTGCACGTATGTCCAACTAATGCCTCGAGATCTATCTTTGTTCATTTCAAAAAGGATGAACTGGCAAACTTAACACTGTCATGTACCTACAATGTTTTAAATTTTGCGTGGCTTCAATGTAGCCATGATGTGCTCAAAAATGTGTGCGAAGCTATGGTGCCCAGTTAGATATTTTGTTTATAAAATAGATATGTCCAAATTTAGCTATCATCATCATGTGGCTGAATGTAGCCTGTCTTATTATGGTCTTACATAATATTTAGATATTTTTATTGCATTATCTGAGTCGTGACATGTCAATGGTGTGAGACTAAGCTGAACTGAGCCGAGCTGAGCGACATAACTCGCTGTCAACTTGAACGTCTGAGTTTTCCTAAGGTGAGTCATGACTCAACTCGTGAGTCCACCATAGATAAAAATGGACATTTGGAAGTAAGTAGCTGACCATGTCAGAGATGTAATAGTTTAAAATTTAACAATAACTATGAAATTCAATGCATTGCATCACACTGAGTATGCAGTCTCATGATGATTTCTCTTACATTGACCAATAGAACACAGCCATCATATTATATAATTCCATCAGATGAGTCAGTGAGCTGTCTGAGTTGAGAACTCAGCTTGGCTCGACTCTCTAAGTTGAATGACTCAACACGCAAGTTGAGCTGAGTTTGCGAGTTGGGCTCAGCTTATTGATCACACTATGTGTCAAGCCTGAGCAATAATGAGAGATGATCTAATATGAATAAATGATAATTATGTCATAAATTTACATCGATAATTGAACTGCAGACACAAAGTACAGTTGCCTGTAACAAGTCTGGAGCTTAGACCAGGCTGAGCTCAAACTAAGCTCAAGCCCTGTTAAAGGGCCCAGCTAGCAATTCTGGTAAACTTGAGTCTGCTGAAGCTGAGCTGGGCTCTGAAAAATACTAGTGATTATATAATGTCATCGTATAAGTTGATGAGCTGTCCAAGTTTCAGCCTAGCTGAATCCCTTAAGTTAACATGCGAGTCAAGCTGAGATCATGTGTTGAACTCAGCTTGTCACCCACACTATTGAGATGTGTATTGAATAATTCTGAATTAGGTGTTCTTGTGGCATGACCAAGCTTAGCCCGCTCTACTATGTCCTTTTTTAATTTAGTGAATTTGTTGATTTATTCTTTATAGCTTTGAAGTCTTTCAGTTATCTTAGAAAAAAATTGAATAACTTTGATTTGCCTATCACTGTGGTATAGCTGAAGCTGATCTGCGATATTATGTCTCTTTTATAACATAATTATGCATTATCACTGAACAAGTGTGCTGTATTTTAAGCAGATTGATGATTTTCAATCCACATTTAACATTATAGATTATGGAGCTCTCTTTAAATGATGTTATTCACAAGAATGATCAACACCTGCAAGCAACTAAAATATACAATATAATCAAGATCTTGGATTGCAGTGTGCTTTAGGGCTAACACATTTATTCATGTCATCAATAGCACTACATTTTAGGCTGAATCACATTCTCAGTTTTCTAGGATGCACAATGTGAAACAATCTTTCCCTGGACCTATTACAATGTGCATACAATCAT